GAGGGGAGGTGTAGTGAGGTGGGACGAGAGGGTGAGTGATACAGTCTGGTGCACAAAGATGTAAGTCACCCTGGCCTACATAACAAGACTACTAGATACAGTAATATGATTTAAGATTCAGTATTTTAGTTACCCAAATATTGTGAGCCTCAGAAAATTATGGCCACTAGCACTTTTTTGTGTAAACTCTAACATTTTCTGTGATATTTTCCATGAGTTGACATCTTTGCCATGGGGGATAACCCTCACTGGACCTCGTGGGAGATCATTAATCTACAGTAGTCATAACTGGTAAAACTATCTAGTACATTACAGTACTGTACTGTATGTATAAATATACTGTATTGAGTAGTTGGCCATAATCAGTGACCTTCTCCACAGTTTTAGAAAATTACATCATCAGTGTGGAGGAGGTCTGTGAAACTGAGCAGAAGTGAAGTAAGGCAAAGAACTATACTGTACAGTACTAATTTAATATAAAATATTTTACATCTAAATATGCACAGTGAGTGTACACTGGGCGTGGCACACAGCCGCCTGCAGTATACAGGGAGGTGTAAAAGTTAGCGGGGCACCAGAGTTACTGGTGTTTGGTGAGGAACCCGTTCACCTTATCTTATCTCAGTGTGGCAGACACACATTATCTTTCATCGGTGCTTTTTTGGTATGATTATGTGAAGTGAGATATGGAATAATTCATTACTTACAGTACTGTACAAAACAAATTTTAAATTTAGTCATTACTTGCTAACATGTTTATATTTTCCAAGTTATATTACTAAATGATCACCAGAAATCATCTTTCAATGTACCTGCTGTAGTAATACCTATGTACTGTATTTTGCTCTTGCAATATATCATTTTTAATTTTTGAAAATAACTGATTCATTGGGTACCAGTTTGCCTTTTTAAAATAATATTGATTAGTCCTACAAAACATCTCCCCCTCCCCAGGGTTGCTCAGTCTCCCCTATAAATTGCCTTCCATTTTAAAATCCAGCACAAAGAATTGTGGTGATGTATTCCTCTTTTATGGCTGCCTCTTGCATCACAGAGGATGCCCCCGGCAGTGTGTTATCTCCCAGTGTGTCAGACAGTGTTCGGGGGTGACAGTCAGTACAGTAGTGTAGTTTAGGAATGTATCTAATGCTGTCTTATGGAGTCTTAAGTCTCAGTCACTGTGATGGTGACATTGCTCATGCATGGACAGGTATAATAAATGTTAGTATTGTTGTCCTCAGGGCAAGAATGGTTATTTTATCCATATTATCCTGGTACAGTACAGTGTTGAGGGCGGGTTAGTTCATTCCTTAATTAATCTCATCAACTGTTACCAAGGAACCATTTGAGGGATTTGGTGATGACCCGCCCTCTTGTGGTATGTACTGTAGTTTGAAGAAATGTATATTTTAGGTTAGTACTGTACTGTCCTCAAGCTTCTTGGGGTGATACGGTATCATTGTCATCATTTATGTAGGCAGTTATAATATCCAGTATCAACTTGCAGTACTGCATCATCATCGTGGCATATACAGTACAGTACATGTAAAATCATCACCATGTAGTGATGATCCTTTACATGAGTGAGGTTTACACCCCCCCCCATAGCTCTCCTCCATTATTTTGCTGTACTGTTTTGTTCTGTTCTGTTCTGAGGAGGAAAGACACTAGGCTTCCTGCCACACACTTTTCAATACATGCCCTTGAACAACTGTGGATTGTTGACACTATAAAAAGGAAAATTGGGCAATCCTCTTGGGTTGTTGTCACCAAAAATTCCAGTTGCAGTGCCTTCTATAGTAGTTGTCAGTGTGCCAAAGAGAACTAACAAGTACAGTACTGTTACAGTAATGTTAGATTACAACAAATACTTCACATTAATTCCTTGGCATTAAGAGCCTCAAACTTGGCATGTATGGGAAAGGGAAAAGGTTGGTACAAACACTGTACAGTGTGGTAGTGTAACAGCAAATTATATCGTGATTTGAAAACTTTTATTGATTATTTACCTTAGGGAGCCTTGTGGTGGCTGGGTTGGGTATAAAAGTTGTGTGCTCAGCAGTGCCTCAAGTTACTTGGGTGTGTGTGTGTCTGTCAGTCTATGACTTGTGTGTACTGTACAGGTATTTAGGGACTGTGTGTACTGTACACTGTCTATTTTGTTATTCTTGTTGGTGGATGAGCTTTTGTGTTTTTGAGTTTTTTTATATGGTTATTGTACAGTATCTTACTTCCTAAACTTCTCTTGAAGGGGGGGGGGGGCTCCTGGCTGGGGGCACAAGATGTGTATACTGTACAGTTCTGTAGTGCTTTCCATGCTGTCCAGAATACCTCTCAGGTTTTCTGGAGAATTTTTTAGTGGAGGGGCTGCCAAAGGCCTCCAGGTGGTATTTGTCAAACAAGTAAGCAAATTTAATTTAGAATTTTGATGCCTAATGAAAAAGTTTACAGTGGAACAATTTGGGATTAAGAGTTGTAATGGTGCAGTTGAGGTGACATTAATGGAGAAAATTGTCACTATAGTACGTACTGTATACAGCACACAATGGTGATGAAGGGGTTTAGTTAATCTTGTTGATCAGAAGGTTGTTGCCAGTACAGTAAACTGTGTAGTCGTTTAAAACTGTAGCTGTTGGGCTGGACAGTTATTCAGGTTTATACACCAACAAATGGTGTTATGGAACTATGGCTAGAGGGCAAATTTTTTGTTAAGATTTAATCAAGACGAAGGAAGCAGTGAAGGTGATTGAATTTAAAACTATGATACTGTAAACAAACTGCAGTGTTCATAAGGACAGTACAGGGTATTGTAGTTACTGTGCTGTGCTTGTCAGATTAGGGTGAGCATGGCATTAGGCAAAGCTTCCTACTGTCTCCAATATAATTTAATATCCTGTATCATGGGTGGTTGTTGGTAGTGATGAAGGAAGGTTAAGTGATGTCATATGTTTGATACAGTACAGTGTAGATGTGGTGCAGATAGTGAAGAGACCTTACTGAACAGGTCTCCAGATTAGTGGGAAAAGGTGAAGTACGGTACAGTAAAGTTAATGCTTTATATGTAATGGTTGTTTCCACGTTAAGAATAAATCCAAAATACAAGTAAGGTAGACAGCAGGGAACTGAGCCAAGTGGAGGATTATATGTTTAGGGGAGGTTAAGTAAAGGTGGCGGCACACTGGACACTTTTCCTCCTAACATGTTGGGCAAACACAGTCCGGCCAGCATAACAAGGACACATTTGCGTTACACTGGGATGTTTTGTTGGCGCATCTGTCCAATGCAACAAAAACAACAACAAAGTGTATAGACGAGGTTCGCCAAGGATCTTGTCACTACAGTTGAGACCTTGTAGGATTGTGCTATAGTTCTTCAATTGCTGAAGCAAGTGAGGCGACCGTAAAAGCTAAAGAAGGGACAATGGGTGCGTCGTGAAGTTTGTTTATAAGTGGCGGCAGCTGGCTGGTCAAAGAAGACCCTGAATAATGATTTAATAAAACTAAAGAAGTTTTAAAGTGACTAATAAATAGAAATATGTCACTGTTTATGTTATATTTTAAAATATTTTTGTTTCATGATTTACCGTATTCCAATTTTTACTTAAATATTCAACACCTAAATGAAGCTCATTTGAGCACTAACCCGGTCAACAGAGCTCACCGCCAAACCGTTGTCCATTTCTCGCAACAGCCAAAATCCTGCTGCTTGCTGGGCCGTCGGGCCAGCAGCCAGCAAAATAAGCAACATATTAGGAGGAAAGTGGCCAGTGTGCCGCCGCCTTAAGTTGTGTACAGTATTGGTAGATGTGAGAGAGATAATAAAACAAATGTGGGTTAATGAAACAATTTACCAGTAGAGGTGTGTTATAATGTTAGAGCTCTGTTGAAAAATATATTATTTGAAGTTTGAGAAAATGGCACGAGACTTGGACAGGTGAATAAAAAATTAAAAGTTGTGGTTCCCTGGAGAGATATACTGTACACTGAGGGAGAGACTGCCTGCAAACATTTGGAGTGGAGGACTGTGGTCATCAGCCTTCAGATGATTTAATACACGACTATCTTCTTAAAGTATTTTCCATTACTAAGAGGAATTGTTCTGAAGGATGTCTCCTAAGTAGGTAATGAGCTCAGGAATTGGCTCGCTGTTTTATTAGATTACCATTGTCGTCTTATTAACTAGAGGCTGGTTACTCAGTCTCTCAGGTCATAATTTTGTTGTAGACAGTGAGTGAGACATGTTGAGAGGAGCAAGGGACTGTCAGCACAGGTCCCAGTTAGGTTGGGTCCCACCAGTTCCTTCAGGGCCTCAGGTGTTAGTGTTTCATCTCCTGCCCTTGTCACAGTTATGGGTGGCTATTGTTGACCCTCTTGTGTGTACTGTACTTGTAGGGTATGGCTGAGGATTCTGGTTCTGTTTGGTCCTGCTCTGATGTGACAGTGAGAGTACAGTACTGCACAGTATACCTGGTGGAGTCCTGAAAGTTAAAGGTTCATTATCAGGCAGATGTGTTAGAAAGTGTAGAATTGTGAAAGGTGATAATAATGTGGAGACACCACCAGGAAATGCTTTCATTCCTTGGTTAGAAGACCTACCATTAAGTGTAGTACAGTTCCATAGGTATATATGCTTTAAAACAACTCTTTGGTCTTTATGAACATCACATGCTGTACAGTACAGTGCTGTACTTATAAGATATTGGAACAAAATGCATGATGTTCAGTAACTTACGGTACTGTATCACTAAATATGTTTTAGATTTTTTATACCAGATTCATTCTCATTAGAAGGTCCTGTACAGTATTGTGGCATGTTATCCTGATGCGGCTGACCAGGGTAATAGTTATGGTATAGCTTATCAGTAGTTTGTGTCAATAAATACAGTATACAGCACTGTGGTACTGTACAGTATAGCATTGTATGGTGTCATAGTCATTGGTAGAATTATTGCCTGGTCATGATATTCTTCCCTTAATAATGTTTTTCTCTTCTCTTTCCAGCCAAAGATAGACCCCCTACAGTTGCTGAAATGCCTCAGTATTTTGCTAAACCCGCGGGGTGGCATACGAGGTGAAACTGAGGTTCAGCGTGTGAAAGGGTAAGTACAGTACTGTGATTCTTGTTAACCTTTCATCAGTTTAGTGAAGAGAAGCACAGTGCAGTAATAGGTTAAGTGAGAAACACACAGTAAGGAGGTGGAGAAGTGTATCAGTTCAGGCAAAGCTGGGAAGAGTTGAGCTGAGTTTACTGTACAGTAATTAGTAGACTTAGTCTTGGAGCATGGACTCTGGGTGGAAGAGGAAGGAACAGATTAGAGGTGACAAATTATTCCCTTGAGAGCAAAACGTGTGAATAAGATGTAGAGATTAAAAACAGAAACACGAGTACAGAAATAACAAGATGAGAAAGTGAATGAGGTAAGGTGTGTGACAGCTGCTGTGTTCACAGGAGGGAAGATGAGAACATTTTCAAAAGAGTGTGAAGGTACTGTATGTATACAGTACTTCAGAGGTTAATGGAAGGAGGGAGAGGAAAGTGAAACAGTGGAGTGGTGAGGGAGGGAAGTGTGGGACATACAGGAAGCAGCAGAGAGTTTTTGTGCTATGTTATATTATTGTTTGAGGAAGGACCTTTTTTTAGCCCCTTTGATTTAGGCAACGGATAAGTTGAATCCGTTTTGTTCAGCTATGGTTGTTACTGTTAGAGTGAAGTTATCCTCTCATACTTCACACTGTAGTGTATAATACCTACAGTAGTATCTCCTTTAGTTCTGAGGCTACATCCCAGGCACTCCTCTTCCTCACTCAGGATTGGGACAGTAAGCCTAAGACTCTTTCCTTGAGGACATTTAAAGGCCTGTCAAGCTTATTTTTTCTTAAGTGTTCCTCCTTTTGATATGTTGAGGTCCATTGGTCTATTGAACTGGTCTTAAAGTTGTTGGGCTGTGTAGGTGCCTTCCTAGAGGGGGAGTTGGCCACCATGAGGGTACAGTAATGTTCTTCCTGACTCTCTCACCCAGCAGAGCTTCACACACATATTGAAGAAACATTACATGGATGTTTCTCGTGGTCTGGTGGCTCACTCTCTTGGGTCAACCTCAGGCTGAGTTAAAAAAAAATTGACTTAAACTAAGACTTGTAAACCGTGGTAGGTAATAGACCCCACCACCATTGTTTGTCTGGTGGAAACATTTGAGACTTACAGTTACCACACAGTTTTAATTAACAATCATTACTTCCAAGTTAGTGGTCTGAATGTGGAGCTTCTATGCTTTATACAATATCTCCAGTACCTATTATAGTCCGAGTACTGTACTGTAGTTAGACGCAATCATCCAGGTCGTACACACCAACCTACAGAAATGATAGCATCTTTGGCTTCTCTTTGGGGTGTTTCCTTAAGTTAATCATTGGAGTGGAGGCTTGGCATCTCCACCTACATAATTGATACAGCCAACACCATTGGTACCAACCTGTACTGTACTCTTCCAACTGTGGATCCCTGGTGTAAAATACAACCCAGATATTTGAAGAAACTAAGTAGATAATTGGAAAGCTGAAAGTTGAATAGCAGGACTTAAGCTATAATGTACAGCAGCTAAAACAACTATCATAAATCCTATTCTCCCATCGTACATAAAGCCTTCATGATAGTATCCTGTTTGTGCAAAGGTTATTTTTCCGGGACCAATTACTGTATTACAGGAAATATTTGGTCCAAACAATGCCCTGTGGTACCTTCTCTTAAGTTCACGGTTCTTCACGTACAGTATTCTGCCAAGCCATCCTGGGTGTTAATTTTATCTAGACTACACTGATTTATACTGTAGTTGGTTTATATTGCATTGGAGAACTATTTATTTTGCTTAATGACTTGAGTTTGGTGCTGTAGGAAGTTGGTTATGAGAGCATCACTGCCTGGTACTGTACTGTGGCTGTGTTATCTTCCTGATAGATTACCTGTACCTTATCTCTCTTAAGGTGTTGTAAACCTTGTTGTTGTGCATCATTTTCACCCTAACGAGGTGTTGTAATCAAGACACAATTGTAAAGCCGTTAAGTTATGGGGAAATGAATTGTTAGTGTCTGCACTACTGAGGCCAATGTTTATGGATATTTTTACCCCTATAAACCATATTACACCTCTTTTATAACATCACTTTTGCTCTAAGATACAAATAAAAAAAATGAATAAAATAATTGAGGATTTAACTACGAGGTTTTTACAACATAAAACACCCTTTGCTGAGGTTGTTTCTGGGAGGTTGTTGGTCAGCATGGTGGGTAGAGGCTTGTGTTCTTACCTACTGTACTGTACATTGCCTCACTTCACCAGGCAGTACTGTACTCCTCTGAGGGCGGCCATGACAGAAGTCTCAGTCTTCCTTACCACTGCATGCCTCCTTTATCATCTGTTCCCCTAATCTCTTCCTGTTTCTCGTCCATGTGCTGTATTGTTCCCTCGTCTCTTCCACGGCGTAGACAGTCTCCCTCTCGTCGACACGCCTACTACATGACTCCCCCACACCCTCTCTTGTACTCCTGCATCCTTCTCACATGACCATACCATCAAGGCGAGTCAACTTTCTCACATTCCAACACTACACTCTGAGCTGCCTTTGTCTTCACTGTTTCTCACACCTTCCATACTTGTAACCCCAGACTCAGTGACTCATCTCCCTAGCTTGAATTTTGGAGTATTCTGAGCCATTCAAACCATGTTGGATTGCCACAAGTTGGGAAATACTGTCTATTACTGTGCTGTATTCTCGGTGACCTGCCTCCTGACTTGTGCTCCTTCCCTTGACGACTCTCCTCTGCTCTGTAATCATTCTACCATTCATTGTTCTCTCCCAAAATTGACTCTCATTTGTGCCATTCTTACTTGACGTTACTGTACTTCCATATACAGTACTTCGAGTCTTAACCTCCTCCAGTACTGTACATTCTTGTCATGATCTTACATTTTGCTAGATTTCTTCATTATGTAGCTACAGTACTGTATTGTTTAGTAAAAATCCTCTACGGTTCTTCAGACTACTCCTGCTCAGAAACCATTGTCTTATTCTTTCTCACATTTACATTGTTCCCTTTTGTGACTCATCCTGTCAGAGTTATTCACGACTGCATTACCCTCACAGACGCGTTACCAGCACCTCATCCTGTCAGAGTTATTCACGGCTGCATTACCCTCACAGACGCGTTACCAGCACCCACACACTGCCTCCACCCCTACCCTCACCTCTCCATCTATGAATATGTTAAACAACCAAAGGGAACACTACACCTCTTACCTCACTCCCAGCCCATTGTTTACTCACATGCCTTACTATCACCGTCTCGCCAGCTTTCCCCCCCTGCACCACAGATTCTCACTCCTCTCACCATGTCTTGAGTCATCCTCTCAAATGATTTGTCTGGGTTAAAAAAAAATGCTCAATATTGTTTTATGCTTTTCTTATGTGGGTATTTCTCTGTATTTTTTTGTATTGAAAGTATTTGGTCTCTACAATCCCTACCTTCTCTAAGCTATCCTGACCTCTGCCTTACCATATTCTGTACTGTAGACTGGTACCTCTGTAGATCTTGCACTCTAGTACCTTACTGTTAATGAGGATGCAGTATTGTATATTATAGCCTTCAACCATTTATCTGGTATAATCTGTTTTTATTGCATTCTGAAGCTTATTATTTCCTCTGCAGTGTTTCAATATATCTGCTTGAATGAATCTACTCCCAGAACCTTCATTAATCTCTGTCCATTGTACTTCTGTTTTCATCTCCCCCAGGATGTTTTTTTTTCTAGTGTTTCCCATCTTCTCTCTTATATTTTACCATCATTACCCAGTACTGTACTTGGTCTCTTCTGTCTTATTTACTATCTCCTGTTTCTGTTATCATCATCATCATTTTAAAGTAATTTTCTGCAGCTGTTCTGACTGTATGGGTTCCTTCAGTCTCTCTTTATCAGATCATTATCTCACATTCTCTCCTCACATCATTCTTCTTTACATTTTCTTCTGCTTCTACTCTTTTTCCTTCCTTTTTTATACTTGTATGATGGATATTTTTATTTTATTTTTTATGGTAACAGCTTAAATTTCATACTGTATTTTCTCATCTTTTCCTTCCCTGTAATTTTGTACTAATAACATCCCTCAGATACAGTACAGTATTCTTTTTTCTGTAATCCCATTTGCTCTCCTCATCTCTTGATCTTCTGGTATAGTTTTAATTTAAACCTTTTTCTTCGTTCTTCCTTTGTCACTGATTCATAGTTGTGTCCTGTTATGCATCTGTTCTCCTCTTTTACCTCATAACCAGTTTCTCTTCTCTCACTCACACACACACACACGGCCTCATGTGTACGTTTTCTGTTTTTCTCCCACGGTTTGTTTTTGTTCTCGTTATCATCATTTTCTTTGCCGGTATTACCAAGCCAGGTAGGGGGGGGGGGTGCTATGCTTTGTTTAAGAATTACCTGAAAATCACTAAATTCAGATTGGTTATTTCACTTTAAGATTAACCTACCCAAATGCTAACCTGACCTAACCCAACCTAATGCTAACCTAACGCTAACCTATCATAACTTAACCTCCAGGTACCGGTTACGTTAGTGGGTAATCATCGGGTGAAATAAGCTGGATGGCCAATCTTCTTGCATTCCCCTGAAGAGTATCCCATTGGCTTATATCACCTTCAGATTAACCTCTGTAATGCTAACCTAACCTAATCCACACCCCCCACCTCCCGGTATAATTACAGTGTTTTATCATTGGGTGAGAGGTTAGCTGTTTGGGGGGATTAATCTTCAGGTGATCCATGTTTACATATTAGCCTTGAATGGGATCTTATGTTCTGTTTGGGTTTCTCCGGTACATGAAACGGTCTTTGAAGGAGAGATAGCTGGTGAAAGGTCAGCTGCTGCAGGTGTCATAGGGTTTATCTGGATTATTTTCTGAGTGGGAAATCAGATGAAATGTTCAGAATAGTGTTAGAGTGATGCTGAAGTGGAGGTCTGAGCTACTGTAGTCTATCATGGATTATGCCAGATGGTCCAGTACTGCATTGTGGTGATGGTGTTTGGAACCACATGAAG